TTCACACTTGGGTCAACTCAAATTAAGCAAATCTGCCAAACCAACTAAATAACTGTAAGAACCATTGCTTTAGCGCTAATGTGTCCAGTCATTAAGAGAAATACTACAAGCTCCTTCTGGGGTGTACTTAACGGTATCTTTTGCTGATATCGAACGGCAAATTCCGTTCCTTGGCTCTCTCCTCTTGTTGGACAACTGATTGGCTATCTGACATGGCCTTATATGGAAAGGCCACTAACATAACATGCTCCTTTTTATCGTGATCAAACACGAGCGGGCAGAAGGTCAGCGATGACCGTGTGCTGATTAATAGGTATGTATTGTAGCATATCGGAAGCGAGTGTTAACGAGACTTTCTACCTTCATGGTCAATTTGAAAAACAGAACGCTGTGCTGTCATCGACATATGCCTACGGCCTGGCCGGGGAAAAATAGCCGAGGATAGCAAGATCATAGGAATCCGGATAGGGTATGAATTCCCTTAAAATACAAGGCATCTTTGGGGCTACAAATCAGATGGCTTAAGACTAAAAGTTTGCTGTGGCACTGTTTGGTGGCCGCTGTGGGTACACCAATCCGATTGCATCTATCATCTTCCTCGAACAGAATGTCACTACAACTATACAGGTCACTTTAGGCAAACAGAGCACACTAGGTAAGATGAACGGAAGAAAACAGTTCCAATAGACGAAATACTATAGCTCTGGGCTACTCATAATCGGGGGTAAAGCCCTCATGTTAGATTTTGCTGTCACCTCGATGGTTGGATAAGTCGTCAAAATGGCCACACGAGTAGTGCTCGAGGCCATGGGGTGCGTTGAAAGTGTTTGCGCATGACAAAGCACTACATGGTTAAGCTCAAGGGCAAAACCCAGTTACAGGATTCACAACCGTCACAAAAATAAGTAGAGTCGACCAAAAGAAAACTAGACCGAGCTGACTGACTGACTGACTAGTTCCGCCTTAAAACTATTTAGTTGCTTTATGCCTTCATATTTCCGAATGCATACCAGAGAACCGGTGCAAATGCTAATTTCCAGTCCGCACTGTCTTAGTCCTCAATTCTAGCAGTTAGTATTCCGGGGATGCATATCATCTTAACTTTCCACAGTCCTTTTTTGTCAACAATTCTCCAACCCCCACCAAAATGGCAAAGTGGAATCCTTAAATTCCATCACTGACAGGTGCCCTAATTTTGTAGACACGTTT